ATCGTCGATTGCGCCTCCTCGGCTGGAGGCGGCCCCCCGGGCGATGGCAGGGGTGGCCGGCCGAGCCGCTCGCGCAGACCGACCTCTGCGCCCCCGTGGCCAGTGCCGAGAAGCCGGCGGAGCTCGGTGGCCCGCGAGTCGGCGTACGCAGGCACGTCCTCGATCGCCGGGCGAACCGCTCGGAAGTGGCTTCCCTCCGGGAGGGCCAGGGCAGCCGACTCCGACGCTGCGGCGAACGGCGCCTTGCGTGCCCAGACAACAGAGGCAGCGCTGCAGCAGCCGGCTCCTCCTCCTCCTCCTCCTCCTCGTGCTCGGGGGCGGCGGCGCCTCCGACCGCCTCCAAATGCCTGGGCGGGCCCACCGGCGCGGTCGTCAAAGGCTTCTTGCCCCGCAGCCGCGCGCCAGGCACAGGTGGGAAGCTGCCTCCGAAGAAGCGAGCGATCGGCATCTGCTCGCCGCCAGGCTCCCGCGCGCGCTCGGGCGCGATCGGCCGCTGGCCAGCCCGGCACGCCGCCTCGCAGGCGCGACGCCCTCGCTGGGCGCCCTCGCGCAGTTCCGAGGCGCCGACCCGCTCGGCGAAGCGGTAGAGCTGACGCCGTTGTCGCCCGCGACCGCCAGGGGGCAGCGAGCCATCGGCCCGCAGCAGGCGGCGTCGCACGGGGCCGTCGCTAGCGCCCTGGCACGCCGCGCCCTGGAAGTACTGATTGCCGTCAGGAGTGCGAATCCACCGCGCACCACCGCCCAGCGGATACGGGAGGATCCGCTCATGGTCCACGTCGCCCCCTCGCATTCCATGGCCACGTACTGACCCAGAACCAAGTCGCTGCACCACTCCTCCTCGAGCCTCGCCGAACGGGAGGAGCGCCGCATCGCCCCGCAGCGGAGCGGCCTCGCGCGCGCCAGCGGCCAGCCAAGCAGCCGAGGAAGTTGGCGAGCACCGGCGGCGCTGGCAGCAACACGGCCTGCGCAGTCGGCGCCCGCCCCTGGAACCCCGCCCGCTGACGCGAGCAGGAGGGGCGGGGCGGGCACTCCGTCGCCGCCGGGCAGACCGCCTCCAGCCAGCTCGGCGCGCCCTCCGCGCCCCAGCCCTCGGGCGTCAGCGCAGGCCCGGGCGGTGGCGGCGGAGGCGGCGGCGGGCCGAACCCCGGCAGCCCCTCGGGCAGCAAGCCGACCAGAGGCTTGAGCACATATTATGGCAACAAGAGACACCACCCGAAACAATGCCTCTCACCTTCCCGTGCAAGCACACACATATACACATAGTCTCTCCAAATTATAGATGGTGCGACAGATGGCAAGAATGCGCATTCCAAACCGTGGGCATCTCGGTCCGCATCGCTCTCATTGGCGCCCGCTCCTGCCATGCGATTTCCAACGCTTGTCGAGACTGTCAGCCCACGTCTTGAATGCATTTTCGCATAGGCCGACGCTCCGTCGCGCGCTGCTGTCGAAGACAATCTTACTCGAAGGCCGGAGAGCTTCTTGGATTGAAAGGCCAATTCGCGCATCCGAAACATCGCGACTTTGATTCCAATCCCCGTCCCACAACACAATGAATTCGAAATGCCTGCGTTGCCCGATTTTACCACCCGGCCCCGAAACAACTGTCACGCGAGGCACGTAGAAAGAGAAAGCGATGATACGGCAGTGCAAACTTGTGGAAATCAAAAACCTTTGATCGGGATACTAGAGCACTTATATCCCAAATGTTGAGCCCTTCGAATGCGGCCACGGCAACTGAAGAGTCTTCTTTTTCAAACCTGGCCGTCATAGCCTCATGCGGCATCAGATTACCGTGTTTAGGCGCAGCGCCTGCTCGGAACATGGCGATGCTGGCGTTGTTCGTTTTCGCCGCTGCCAAAACAGCATCAACAAATCCATCGTCAAAGCGAACTCCCTTTTGAACTGCAAAGCGAAATCCCCCCCAATTGGTAGGCTGTTTGTGTGAAGTGATATGGGTTCGCCAAAGTTAAAGTGTTGATCATGGTCGCGCTATCTGGGGCCAGCAGGCAGTCCTCGCGGCCTGCCAGAAGAGCACGTTGGCGGAGCGCGCAAGGGCCAAACCAGCTCTGATTGAGGCTTGGGGTGGCTACACCTCCATTTGTGTTAGCGATGAACAAGCCAGGTTTGGCAATTTGCACTTGGGCAGCGCGCAGGCAAGACCGCGGCCTCTGCGCGTGAAGTCGCCCTCCATTTCAAGCTTTAAACCCACGTCCGAACATGCCCAGCGCACTCTTGAGCTGCGTGTCGCGGAGAATTTCCCCTCCACAGAAAAATCACATCGAGAGAACGATTGTACATGTTGGAGGACAAAGAGCCAACGCCGATGACAGGATGACCGCCATACGCACGCACGTCGGCGCCTGCAACGTCAGCATGCAAGAAATCGCCGGGACAGAAACCGCAGCGCCTTTGCAGCATCGTTTCAACGATCCACGACATCAACATATCACCGAAACTGTGCCGACCCATAGCGCCATGCAAAAGCATCTTGCGACCATGCGGAATCACTTTCGTGCACCTTGAGCTGGTCGACTGGCTCGCGCCGCGCAGTGCGCTCTCCCTGGGGCCTGTGCAGCCAGCACCTGGGACTCCTTCGCCCTGCATCGATGAAAATGGACGCGCGCTGGTCCGTGAGCCCTTGATGCTGACTGCGAATACTGCGCCGATCCGAAAGTTTCCCCAATTTCGCCACGGGGTGGCGAGCGCGGGACAAGACTCGCGGGGCCCGAGGGCGGAGGGTGGCGATGTCGCGAGGGCAGAGTCGGCGCGCCGATGGGCAGCCCAGCGCCCTGTTTGGCCGGAGGGGCCCAGTACAATGCAAGGGCAAAGCCTGACCCCCGCCCAGGGTCGCGGGATCGGGTTCCCCTTCCCAGTTTAAAATTTTCAATCCCAAACGGTTTACTGACCCGAAAATGAGCAAACGGCATAGGACCTCCTCGAAAGAAGCTTTCGGGTTCGGTCATGCTCCGACCCGAAAAGTTTAACGGCCGACCCGAAAATGGTCAAATCCCATCGGACTTGTGTCCAAAAAATTCGGGTCCAGTTCGAACGACCCCAAAATGTGCAAACCGCCCAGGACTTCTTGCAAAAAAACATCGTTCTCGAGGTCTTCGGGCCCGCTCCGCAGAAACTGAGCATGGGCAAACCGCCTAGAACTTCTTATCAAAAACGATTTCTCGGTGGTTCCGGGCCTCGTCCGAAGGAGCCGCCGATGGGCAGACCGCTCAGGACTTCCTGCGCAAGAAACTGTGTCCCGGGTGAGCCATTGTCAACGGGAACGCGCCCCGCGCTGGATCGGGGTTCGCGCGGGGGCGCGGCTGCTCTCGCGTGTCCAGGGGGCATGAATTGTCGCGCCCTTCCAGCATTGCGTTTGCGCTGCATTCGGGCAGCGCCGTGCCTCTCAAATCGGAGTAAACTTTCGGAGCGCCGATGTAGATATGAGCGAATGGAACCATCACGCGACCAGCATGCGAACGAAACAACAACAGCACTGAAGAGCAACCACCATGGAACAACGGAGAACAATCTGCCTTCCCCCACTTGTCTAATGTTCCGATCGGTCCGTCTGCACAGGTATGGGGCGTTCGGCAATCGAGCGACGCTAGCCTCTTGGCCCGAAATGGCCACTTGAGCCAAACTGGCTACGGATTAGGGGTTCTTACTTCTTTTCTGAGGACTTGGACCTGCGGGCCGGTGGACCTGCAGGCCGGTCTTGAGGCTCCGTGCTCCCTGTTACCGCCCCGTCGCCGCCTCGTTGCCGCCCGTCGCCTGGGCCTGCGGGCTGGTCTGGCGGCTCCGTGCTTGCCATCGTCGCCCCGTCGCCACCTGGTCGCCGCCCGTCGTCTGGGCCTGCGTGCTGGCTTGGCAGCTCCGTGCTCGCCGTCGCCGCCCCGTCGCCGCCTCGTCATTGCATTGCTTTGCTTTGCGTTGCGTTGCTTTGCCTTCCTTTGCACTTCTTTACGTTGCATTGCTTTGCATTGCGTTGCTTTGCCTTGCTTTGATTTGCTTTGCGGTGCTTTGTATGGCATTGAGTTGCATTGCTGTGCATTGCTTTGGTTTGCATTGCTTTGCGTCGCTTCGCGCTGCTTTGCATTGCTGTGCATTGCTTTGCATTTCGTTGCATGGCATTGCATGGCTTTGCATTGCTTCGCATTGATTTGCATTGCATTGCAATGTTTTGCATTGCGTTGCTTTGCGTTGCGTTGTACTGCGTTGCATTGCGTTGAGTCGCTTTGCGTTGCTTTGAATTACTTTGCGCCACATCGGTTGCATCACATATGCTGTATCCCACTGATCGCATCATCTATATAGCACTGCATCTATTTCTAGAAATCGCTGGCATTGATCGCACAACATGTATGGTACAATACTTATGGCATCACATAAACTGCACC